AAAGATACGCGAAGAGCAAGATGTCCCGTAAACCAGCCGGCAAGCACTTCCACCCGCGGCCAACAAGCATTTCCCGCGGTCAGGAGCATCCCGACCTCGGCAAACCACCCATTCCCCGCGGTCAAAGCACTCCCGACCGCGGCCATCAACCCCTGAGCCCAAAAAGCCCATTTCTGAAGCCCACATTTGGAGAAACCCTAAGTGACGTCCAGAGAGGTCTTGAACACTATAAATACATGTCTTAGGAACCCTAAATCGTGTAACCTTAGAGAACCGAATTATTTACTTCATACTTTCATTGTTTTCTCTTTAGCTTTTAGGGAGAGAGAGATTTGTTCTCTTGAACCCTTGTTCTTTCTTTATCAATTTCGGTTTCTATTCTACTTCTTAATATTATGTATTTGATTTCGTTCATTATGTCTGAGTAGTTTTATTGTTGGGATTAAGGGATTTTCGATGGGGATTTATATGTTCGATGAGGATTCCATTGGCTATTGAGCTGAATCTTAGAACTTTTTCTTCTGAATTCGTTTTTACTGCATGAGGGTAGCGTCATGAACTACAATCTGATCCAGATGCTTGGTGACACGAAAGTGTTCATCAGGTATCAGATCTAGTTTGGGAGAGCAAAACAAACATAGGAGTGGAAACCTACCTATGGGCGATTTGTGAATTAGGACGAGTCTTAAACATAATGCATCTCTTCTCTTCCAGGGCCAGAGTGGAAACCTACTGGTCAGGGTTGAGAGAGATAGTTGTCTATGATCACGACAGTGGCGTATTCATACGTCCGTGACTCCAGTTCGAAAAGTTTAAGCTAAGATCTTACAAAATTTCCTCTCTAGCAGTGTTTTGAATCGTTCGTACCCCTGAGAAAACTTCCCTGAACCCCAACGCTTTTTTCTCCATTGTTTTACACCGATTTTCTTTAAGCTTTAATTCAATATTGTCTTTCCTTTTTAGTTCATTTTCATTTAAGCATTAGAATATCCGTTTTTATTATTTTTAGTTATTTTCGTTAAGTTTAGTTATTACGCCATTTAATTTCCGTATTCTCTTTTAAGATTTCGTTTTTAGATTTTAAACACACTACCAAACCCCCACAAAACCGCTTTTGTTCTAGACTTCCTTACTTTAACTTATTTCAAAGGCTTTTTGCAGGAAAAGATCCTCCTTGTGGATTCGATCCCTAAGTACTACAATCGATCAGCTGTGCACTTGCGGCTATTGATTTCAATTAGGGTAAAACTTTACACCCACAACACACACCACATCAAAGAGCATATGAGGTGATACGAATTAGGGTTCCTAAAACATGTACTTATAGTGCTGAAGACATCTCTAGGGTTTAGGGTTCCAGAATCAAGGCTGGGAAAATGATATAGGCTTCAGAAATGGGCATTCGGAGTCGGAGTTAGCTGGCCGCGGTCGGGATGAATGTGACCGCGGGGAATGGGTGGCTGGCCGCGGTCGCGGTGGTTGTGACCGCGGGGAATGGCCTGTTGGCCGCGGGTGGAAACGCTTGCCAGCTGGTTTACGGGACATCTTGCTCTTCGCGTATCTTTTGATTGTACCGTTGGATTGCCAAGCTGTAAAGTGTGCTGGAAAGCTGGTACTTCCATCTTCAAGATCTCCAAATTTGAGCTGGATCAGACGGTGAGAAGGTCTTCAATTTCAATCGGGGGTGAACTTCTGACGGTTTGACTCTGAGCTGAAATCTGGTCTTCTATCCATTTTGTTAAGCTTTTTCCCTAAGTTTCCTAAAAAGAGTTTTGGAACTACAAATACTAGAAAAACGTAATAAAAGTACTTAAAAGCAATTAAAAACATAGAAAAAGTATTTCAAAACGATCTATAAAAGTAGTCAAAATACGGTGTTATCAACTACGAAAGCGTAATGGGTCCCACAACGTTAATTGAAGCGACTCACTATCTCCTCCGAATGATGTCATTACAATATTTCTATGAAGTTAAGACACATCTAGTTATCACCGGGATCCACACATCAATCAAATTTTGCAGGTAATACTAATTTCAGTTTCTCGTTCTTAAACCTAGGTATCAGACACTACAGATTCAGTCGTAAGCCTTCTGCCTAAGATGAGTTTATAGTAAAACGGCAAAAACGAACCTGATGCGAATTTGAAGAGAATAAATGGAATTGTGACCAGTTTAGAAAGAAATCGAAGACTCTTCGTAGTATCCTCGTAGTTGTACCTAATGGAACGAATTTTCCAGAAATGATTTACATTCGAATTTAGGGTTATTCAAATTTAAATCCGAAATCGGATTCGGTATAACTAATTGGGTGTGGATATTTGACCCATGACTAGTTGGGTTAGTATATATCATGATGTTCTAAGGGTGACTTAGTATTTTCTCGTTTTTTCGATTTAAAAATAAATTAAATTTTATAAAGCTGGTATATGAGAATAAGTTGCTTGGTTAACTGGTATATGAGGGTTTGATTCCTCAGTCTCGATCCGCAGGCCGCAGCAGCAGTTTTCTGGACGGCCACCGCCTCCTATGGGCAAAGGCCAATGTTCCTCCGCCTGGTGGTATGATGAGTGAATCTGGGATACAAGTATCGCCTCCGCTTCGCCCTGGAATGCCTCCACCTCTTGGAGATTTTGCTCCACCGCCTAATCCTCATAACCAGCAGCAGTAATTAGGTTTGCGATGAGTTGTTTTCTCTCGGCTTTTACAGTTTTTTGCTGTTTCTTGAGATTTTAAAGGCATTAAAAGTTGTTCGATTGGACTTACTCAGGTTACACTGTCGTGCTTTCCTGTTGCCTTTCATAACTTAGCCGTAATCTCTGTTCTATCTTAGCTTTTCAGAGTTTGTAGATTTGTTGACGAGTGAGTGTCTTTGCCTTATCTTCTTGAGTTCTTGTGTTTCTTTTAAAGAAGATTTCATTAAATCTGGTTATCTTCTTCTTATTTGTGCCTGAACAGCTGTCTTCAGTGTGAAATCTGTGTTACTGAAACTGAGTTTAAACCCTGTTTACATGTCTCTTCATCTCAGATATTCAATCAGTATAGTTATTGCTGGCTCAAATGAAGCAAATGTTTCCCAGATTACGTTTGATCCTTAATGGCATAAAAAAATTTTCAGTTTTATTACAGAAGAACAATTGTGATTTGGGATACTAATGTTGAGGGCTTTTTAAAAAAGTTATGTCAAATGTTGCTCAGAGCAGAATACTAAAGTGGATCAATGAGCAGATTTTAAGAGTGTAGTTAAACTTTTCTTTATCTGTTGCAGTAACCAAGCTGAGATGATTGTTATGATGCAATACTAGTGTTGCAACAATTTTGTCTTTAATGTGTTTGGTTCTAGTTAGCAATTGCTCTTGCTGTCGCTTGGATTTTTGGTTCCTGTACTATGTTATTGCTTCTTGGATCTTATTTGTTTTTACTGGAACAAGTTATAAAAAGAGTATTACAAAGATGTCGTCTGGGAACAGAATGTGTACATGGCCAAGTTGGCCGAGTAGGCTGAGCGTTATGAAGACTTATAAGGAAATGGTTGAATTCATGGAGAAAGTTGCAAAGACCGCCAATACCGCAGAGCTTACTGTTGAAGAGAGGAATCACTTGTCTGTTGCCTACAAGAACGTGATTGGGGCTAGGAGGGCTTCATGGAGGATCATCTTCTCGATTGAGCAGTAGGAAGAAAGCAGAGGCAAGAACGATCACGTTTTGATTCTCAAGGACTACAGAGGCAAGTTTGAAACTGAGTTCAACAAGAGTTGCGACTGCATTTTGAACCTTCTTGACTCTCACCTCGTTCCTACTGCATCTTTGGCTGAGTCCAAAGTTTTCTACCGCAAGCTACATCGAATGCTCAAGCTGGGCGTGAGCATCTTCTATTGAGTAGATATTAATTTTCATTTTATTTTGATGTGGTTGTTCTTCCTTTTCATATTGAAGATAGTGACATCATCTCTTATTATGTTTGTTTTTTATTTTATTTAATCATGTTAGGTAAATCAATCCAAGCTGCAGAAAGTGCTTTGACATTAAAGAAACCCTGATTGAAGAAGCTAGAAGTGTTAGAAACATATCAATCGCTAAAGGCCTAAAGACAATGGTGGTGTTAAGATTGTAAATATATAAAATGATTTCTTTGTAATTACCCAATTCACAATGGACTATATATACAAGAAATTTGTCTCTGTAACTAAAATAAATTAAAAAAATAGAAGAAAAATTAATTCTTGAATATTTGATTTAGGGTTTAGGGCATTAGAGTAGAGTTTATTGTTTTGAATATAATTTTTTTTAAATCACCCAATTAACAAAGGAATATACAATAAATTACTGAATCCTTAATCTGTAAATAATTTTTCAGAAATAGAAAAATAAATTTCGAATTAAGTCTTGATTTAGGGTTTAGGCCCTTAGGGTAATAGAGGAAGAGTTTATTGTGTGAAATATATTTTTTGTAATTATTCAATTAAAAATGGATTATACAATAAACTTTAATCTTAAATGGAATATACTCTAAACCCTAAACATAATATATATAATAATATTTTTTAAAGATAAAACTTAAAAAAAAAATAAGTGTTGAATATTTGATTTAGGGTTTAGGATATTGGAGTTTAGGATTTAGATTATGTTGATTTAAGGTTTAAAATATCTTAATTTGTGGTTTAAGTTATGTTCTCAATTAACAAATGAAAATGTTTGCCAATGATTGAAAATGATTGCAAAAATGATTACAAACATATATACAAACCCTACAAACTAATGATAAATTATTAAGTTTATCACTGATAGTTTAGTGTCACACAACATTTGTTATATAATTTGTGTTTTTTTTAATAAACTCCAAAATTGTATATTATTACAAAAGTAAATAATATATCATAAATTCAGTCATATAAAATATTTTTGAAATGAAACTGTAACTAAAACATATTATTTTTTATTTATTTAGGGTATGAAAAAGATATAAACATTTAGAAAATGAGAGCCTATGGAAAGATATCACTCGGATCGCTGACGTGTCACGATATTGAACAGTTGGAGCATACTTTTCTTGATCCTTCCACAGCTTTGGTTTAACTTATTTGGATTACGCTTCCTCCTTTCACTTCTCTTCATCTTCATCTTCCTCACTTTGTCGTCTCAATTCTCTCCTCTCGAGCCTCCTTTAACGACGAAGACATCAAAGAAAAGCTTCCTCGAATCAGATTCAAAAGCTTTCTCTCTCTTTCTGGTTCCATAGCTCACCGTCGCAGATCTATTCCTGCCGGTGTACTTTTTCTCGGCGGAGAAATCAGATCAGATCTGGCCGGCCTGCTCTAAACTGCTATCATATTCTCGCCGTAGCCTTTTGGGTTTATAAAGGAGCAGTAGAGGATGATGGTGGATCTAATCTCTCTGGTTAATTGGACACGGAGAGCTTGCACGGCTCTTGACCATGGAGAATCTAGCGCCCTACCTCTATGGGATTTCTAGCGTTGTTGGTGGTCAGGTTTGAATCTCAATTCTCCCTTCAAATCTGCTATGTGCCCTTGTATATGCTTCAAGATGCATCTCATGATATGTTACATTCTTTCGTTTTCTTAACCACTCCGAATAGATATTGAAAGTGATTTTTCAAATTAATTTAGTATCCTTGTTGTGTTAGCAGAGAGCTCAGTGAAGTATTCAGTTCTGGAGAGCATCGTCGTAAAAGACTTTTTACCCCATGGATCTGGTAAAAAGTCTACACTTAAAGCAAATTCAGTTATGAGATAACAAATTGTTGGTACTCATTCGTGCTATTGACATTGAAATGTTTGTTTGTTGCAGGAAGAAGCTAGGTATGTCAATAATTTTGAAGAATAAGTTCAAAGATTTGGAGATAAGAGTGTAGAGAATTCGCAAGATTAATTACACGACTTACGGCTTTTGTATCATACTTTTGTATCATACAAAGTATGAACTTATCTTTATTTTTATTTGGTAATATATAGGTCGTTTGTATCTGTTTCATACAAATATAATAAAAAAATCTGGTATTTTTCATTTTAATATGACAAAATAGCCATAATAGCAAAAAATCACAATAAATCGAATTTATTTGTATATAATCTACTGGGACTATTTCTACGAGTCAATTACACATTGCAAAATGATATCCATAAAAATACAAATGCTATAGAAAATAAGAATTAGTGGACCAAAGTACATATACATATTTCGAATGCTATAGGAAATTTTAAAACATGCTATATATAATATAACTAATAGCAAAAATAAATTGCTATTGTAAATTTTATAATTGCATACAAAAAAGCGTTATATTAAATGAAGACACGATAACAATGATTAAAACCGCTATTAAAAATCGCAGACCTAATATCGCGGACTATGTCAGAACGCTTTTCTAAATGCTATCGTATTGTTAGATAGTGTTTTTTGGGTGCTAAAAATACTCATTTTTCCTTGTAGTGGTTCTTACATCACATTGCATAGAGCAATTGGTTTACTTTTGGTCCTTGAATCTTTGTATTAGTTTTATATGGGTGTTGTTGATGTTTCACGGAAACACACATAACCTGAAGAAACCTTGGATCTCTACCACTATTTCAGATTCAATAACATCCCAATTTGCTTGGAAAAAAAAACTGACAAAGAAACTATTATATAAGATCAAAGATATAATCTGATAAACCGATAGTGATGGGGGTCTTTGTAGCTGGCCTAACGGTTCTCTCTACTTAAACAAAGGATGGAACAATGAGGATTGACTGGTGGAGATTAATAACCTGGCCTAACGGCTCTTTTTGTTTAACCTAGTGGATGAGTCGGCAAAATGAACAAGCGATGGATCGAGGTGACATATGATAACACTTAATTTTTACCACTTTTGTAGATCACTTTTACTATCTTATGCAGGTGTTTTCACTCAGTTTTAAAGGTTTTTAAGTGATTTCCATGTTTTAGAATCTCAAAAGATTTTTTAGGATATTTTGACAAAAGGAATGCCCTTGGGAGCAAAAAACATAACTTTGAATAAATTCAGACCATTGAAAGTTTGGTAACAAATAGAGGCCTTCCCACCTTCTGATCATCCTCAAATTTTGACACAAAAAAATAGGAGACAACCAGATTTCCAATGCAAGTGGAATCAAAGCAATCCAACGGTTAGATCTCCATATATGGTCGATTCACTGAAGGCGTACCAACACAGTCGGGAACTCCCCCGCGGCCAAAACATCATTTACCGGTGGTGCGAAATTTTAGACCGCAGGGAGCGAAATTCCAAGCCTCATAAGCCCACTTTAAAGCCCAAGTCACTCCTGTCACTATTCCTGCAAGCCCTAGGCGTTCCAGATGACCCAAGATACTATATAAACCCCTCTTAAGTCATTACAATGGTGTGCCTCATTTTTCACCAGGAACCCTAGACGAGAGTCACGCCTAGAAGAGGAGCCACCGGGAGGGGCACCATCGGCTCTCCTCCTTCAATCTGTTTTTCGTTTTTAACCTTTTTCTATTTCAATTCTCTGCAATTCTAAATACTTTTGTGATGTTGAACTCAACTATGTCTGAGTAATTTATCAGTTAAGTTTTTAAGGGATTTTTCAAAGGGAATTTCATGTCTTGACCATATGCTTTGTTCGATTTAGGGTTATTAATCTTCTAGGAGTCTTTCGTTCATTCTTGTTCACTATGCTGTTTCTGTTGCTAGCCGCTTAGAAATTGATCTAAGTAATTGGAGCCACGAGAGTGTTGTATCGAATTACCAGACCTAGAAGTAATCGAGCGAAATCGCTATAGGAGACGAAAGCTACCTATTGAGCCGCGAGCGTGGATGAATTCTGTTTTTAATGCATGATCTTATTCGCAGCATGAGAGCGAGAATTAATTACTGTGTTGAGTGATTTGTTGATTAGGGTGGCGAGAGTTGGCTAATCATATTCGAGTTCGGGATCCTCTCTAGATGAGTACCTTTATCGATTTGTTTGCCTTTTTGATCAGTTCATGAACCCCTGCGAAAACCCTGTAAACCCAGCATTTGTTCCTATTGTTTTACAACTTGTTTATTTCGATTGCTTTTAGATTTAGTGATACCAAAACCAAAAACCCCCATTTTGCTTGTTCTACTAGTCTAAATTTTGATTGATTCGTACTGAAAGCTCAAAATCTCTGTGGTTCGACCCCTAAGTACTACAACGTACATCTGTGCACTTGCAGATATTTAGGGTTATAAATTTAAAACGTGAAGCTAGAAGTAACCCTTGATTCTCTTAGCATCAACACACACACAACCGGTGATGGAGTTGTGACAGTCAAGAACTCTTGGAATCAAGGGGAAGCCGCACAAGATTCAAAGAACTCGCAAAGGTGAAGAAACTTCTCGTTTTATTGATATCAAAAGCAAAAGTAACCAATAAAAATCCGCATGTGGAACCTTATATGAATGGTTCGTCGGCTGGTGCCTTTTGATGTGTGCTGTCCTGAGGGTTGTCAAGTTTTACCCTAAATGAAATCAATAGCCGCAAGTGCACAGCTGATCGATTGTAGTACTTAGGGATCGAATCCACAGGGAAGGAGGATCTTTCCTGCAAAAGTCTTCGAAAGAAATATAAAGAAAGGAAGTCTAGAACCAGGCGATTTTTGTAAGGGTTTTGGTGGTGTCTTTAAAACGTAAAAACTAATCTTAACGAGAAAATACGGGAATTAAAATGACCTAATAACTAAACTTAATGAAATCGACTAAAAACGAGAAAAAAGCTAGACCTAATTGCCCAAATGAAAATCGATTAAGAGAATGAAAATGATGAACTAAAACTTGAAATAAAATTGATGTAAATCTATAGAAAAGAAGGCGCTGGGTTTCAGGGGAGTTTTCTCAGGGGTATGAACGATTCAATACATTACTAAAGAGTAAATTTGATAAGATCTTAGCTTAAACTTTTCGAACTAGAGTCACGGACATATGAATACGCCACTGTCGTGATCATAGACAACTATCTCTCTCAACCATGACCAGTAAATTTCCACTCTGGCCATCGAAGAGAAAAGATGCATTATGTTTAAGACTCGTCAGCATTCACAAATAACCCATAGGTAGGTTTTCACTCCTATGTTTGTTTTGCTCTCCCAAACTAGATCTGACACCGGATGAACACTTTCGTGTCACCAAGCATCTGGATCAGATTGTTGTTCATGACGCTACTCTCATGCAGTAAAAGTAAATTCAGAAGAAAAAATTCTAAGATTCGGCTTCAATAGCTCATGGAATCCTCATCGAACATATATATCCCTAGCGAAAATCCCCTTGACCCAATAATAAAACTACTCAGACATGATGAACGAAATCAAAAACATAGTATTAAAAAGTAGAGCAATAATCGAAATTGAAGAAGAAAGAACAAGAGTTCAAGAGACAAATCTCTCTCTCCCTAAAAGCTAAAACTTTAAAGTATTCTAAAACAATAAGAGCATATGAGGTGATACGAATTAGGGTTCCTAAAACATGTATTTATAGTGCTGAAGACATCTCTGGGCGTCACTTAGGGTTTCTCCAAATGAGGGAATGATTTTGGGCTTCAGAAATGGGCCTTCTAGTTCGGAGTTGGCTGGCCACGGTCAGTAAGTGCGTGGCGCGGGGAATGGATGCTTGGACGCGGTCGGGTAGGCTCTGACCATGGTGAAATGGCTGTTGGCCGCAGGTGGAAATGCTTGCCGACTTGTTTACGGGACATATTGCTCTTGGCGTATCTTTTGATTGAACCTTTGGATTGCCAAGCTGTAAAGTGTGCTGGAAAGCTGATAGTTCCATCTTTGAGATCTCCAAATTTGAGCTGGATCACGGTGAAAAGGCCTTCAATCGGGGGTAAACCTCTGGCGGTTTGACTCTGAGCTGAAAATCTGGTCTTCTATCCATTTTGTTAAGCTTTTCCCTAAGTTTCCTAAAAAGAGTCTTGGAACTACAAATACTAGAAAAACGTAATAAAAGTACTTGAAAGCAATAAAAAACATAGAAAAAGCATTTCAAAACGATCAATAAAAGTGGTCAAAATATGGTGTTATCAACTCCCCCAGACTTAAACATTTGTTTGTCCCCAAACAAAACAAAAGTCTAAACTGGTTAAGTGAAAACAAAAATAAGAAATGCACAAATCTCAGAGACATGAACTCCTAAACTAAGACTAAAGATCGTGCATCAATCCACAACTTAGTCTAGAAAATTCTCACAAGACACAAAAGATACTAGTCCACTTTTTTCGTCATGCAAAACTTAAATAATCTAAATCTTGATTCCAGTCAACTAGCTCTCTACATTCATTAAATGCAATAGCGAATTCTCATTAAAGACATCATCCAGGGTAGACGGCGTTTGGCATTAAAAGGCTGTTTGAGTGGTGGAGTTAAAGTGTTTCGGGTTACCTGATGAATATGGAGGCTGCAAGATAATATGCAAAACCGCAAGAGAGATAAGGACCTGTTGATGATCGCAATGTTCAGTCACTTCTTCTTGCCTAATGTTGTTGCATATTCCTTCTTCCTTTGTTGTGAACAGCTATTCCCCCAGACTTAGATTTTTTTCCGGGAATCAGAAAATGATCTCCAAAACTCCATAAAATCGAACTCTAGTTGCCTTGGGACTTAAAATTCGACATCTCTAGACTCTCTAAGGCTTTTATTTCCTTTCCTTTCCTATTTTTGGATTTTTTTTGAAAGGGGAAATGCTTTTTAAAGAGAGAGAGAGATTAGAGGACGAGAATGTACCAAAATTTGAGATTTTTCTAAGGCAAACTGAGCTTCCTCATGTATTGAATCTTTCCAGGAAGTTTTCCGGCAAAATCGTAGGTCTTTGTCTTTAGTGACTGAAAACTGCGTCATTCCTCTTTCTCTCCAACGTTTTTACACATATCTGCATATAAGACAATAGAAAACAAGAGTGCATGTGGTTTGAAAGAGGCTTGGTTAAGGTGGGGAACTAGCTAAAGATGAACTGGCCATTCAGGATCAACAAAGAGTGGTAAAAGGGTAAAGGAGTCCTGAATGTATGATTCGTT